CTACTACTACTACTACTACTACTAATAATAATAATAATAATAATAATAATCCCATTTTCCCATTCCAAAAAAAGTCTCAGGAAAAGAAACAGAGCAGAATGTTTCAGTCCACCCCTTTTCATGGCCATCTTCTTCACTTCTCCTGTCCTCCAAATTATCCAGCATAACTTCTGGTCGCTGAAAAGTTATCTGTCTTATTATATTCTCACAATCTGATCATATCCCCACCACTTCTTCACTGTAAGCACTGCACAATCCTATCCACTTGTCCTCATGGAACTTCCTTCCTCTCCCCTCCATTTTTGAGGAACCCCTCTCAAGCTTCTCTCCTTTCTTTTTAAAAGGGTTTCTCCAAACTAAACTGAGGGAGTTTATAGAAGGCTTATCCGAACACCAGCCATGAGGGCCAAATCACAGAATGGAGCTGGAGATCCTTCAGCATCCTGGCAACGGGTCTCCCTGTAACTACCAGAGGGGCAAAGCAGATGTCTAAGTGTCCAGGCTATTTAAATAGAAAGGAAGGCTATCAAGTGTTTTCTCCATGCAGGATATTCAGGGCATTCCACTCTAAAATGCAGATAGCATAGAAAGACATAAAAGCTTTGGTTTGAGATATGCTCTGAAGAAGTTCACACACGCATTCATCGTCTTGCACAGCATTCCATCGGAGTCATTTCCCCGATACACAAACAACCTTGCCTTGGCCTGTCTCTCTTACTTTCTATGACCTACTTCGTAATCTAAGCTTTGTTGACAGTCCCAGTGCCAGGAGATCAGAAAGAGGAAACAACTTGAACTACAGATCCTGTCCGAAACCATTCAAAGTTGGGATGGTGAAGATATCCGGTCCATGGGCAGCGTCCTTTATATGTCACAAGTCATGGTCCAATATGGAGGGAATGAGGTGAGATGGGGCGGGGTTTAACAGTGCAAACCATGAGGACTAGGTCCTTCTTTTATTGTATTGTATTCTCCTCCTCTTTGTTCAACCAACCCGGGCCCTACAGGTGCTCTATCTGGAAAGGTTTCCAATCATGGTTTTCACATGTTGTAAAGCAACAAGGCTCAAGCAATGGGGGGACTGAGGAAATCATGCTTTCCACAGATATTCACGCGCGGTGCATTTCTTTCTTTATCTCAGGAGAAAGAGGAAAGATACCTCATGTTATTTTCAAGCGTCCTGTTGATGCTGTCAGCCAGCCCTTGCATGAGTGGATTTATGTATAAGGTGAGTGGGGTGTATTTGCAATTACAAAGATTTCGCTTTTTCAAACGTGTCACGAGCCCCCGCAGAAGTATGAGACCCTTCTGCCCTCATCCCCAATCATGAAAATATCCCACTCCGAAAAGAGAAGGAGGCTCTTTTTCCTTTGAAATTTCTAGTTTTAGGTGTGGTGCAGATTTAAGCTAAACATCCTGATTGTTTTCAGTCGGCCGATCATTCTGCCATTTTCACGTGGCAAGAATATTGCTCAAGATTGCTCGGAATAATATCGGTGTAATTTTTTTTTCTCCTTCTGGGGGAGCAGGGAAAGCTCCCTTTAATAGGAATGATGGTGACAAAATTAGAAGACCTGGAAGGAAGTGAGCACGCTTTTGAAATTTCAGGTCAGTGTTCTTTCAGCATCTTAGATGTGTGGCACAATTATGATAAAGATATCATCCCAGGGGTTGGTACAAACCAGCACTTAGCAAACTAGGGTTAGAAAATGATGAATGCCCAAGGGAATCTATTAATAATCAATCATACTCTTTGTGTTTAAGTAGTATTAATAAATGTTATTAGTGCCCTATAAAAGTTCCATTATGCGGTCCTCAGAATGTTGAGATTGACTGATTGAGGTTGATGGGCAATTGATGAAGGACAAAAAAGCTAAAAAGGACACAGCTGCGCCAGACCAGTCCACCATTTGTTCCCACCGAGGCCAATTAGATAGTTCTGGAATCACTACCGGCGGGATATCAACCCCTTCCATTCACGTTTGTAAACAGTTGGTCTTGAGATGTTTGCAGCTTCTATTGCTGGAAGCCCGGTGTTGCTATTATGACAAGAAGCCACTGAGAGCTACAGCATCCGTGAAGTTGTGAAATTCTGTTTGAAAGACATCCAGGTTGGCGTGACAAGAGTCACATTAAGCCATCATATTTAGATTTGGCTCGGTGAGATGTGTGAGCCTAGCTAAAATGAGCCAGGGCTTAATAACACTGAGGAATCTAATATATATCTTGTGATGGCGATGGAAACGAAAAAGCCTTCTTCATGCAATACGTACAATCATTTATAGTGCCATGGTTGATGAGAATTGGTACTGATCAAAGTCCCATATAGTCCAGGGTTCTTCTTTTCCAAGTGGCAATTAGATACCTTGGATAAATCCACAAGCAGGATATGAAGACAAAAATTAGTCTCCTGTGCTTCACAGAAGCTGGTGCTCAGCAATGAACTACTTGTACACTTGGAGGTGGCATGCAACCACCCTGAGCCACTTCTAGAGTTATCCTCCTGGATTTATCTAATAATGTCTTCCCTAATCTGGTGCCTTCCAATGAATCAAGGCTACAATTCGGAGAATTTCTATAGGCCATGAGAGCTGGGAATTCAGGGAAATGAAAGCTAAACCATCTGGAAGTTACCAGATGGGTGAAGGGTGGCCTCATTCCTGGAAGCCACCCCTATTTGTGATCAGCACTAACTCACTTTGCCATTCTTTCTGTCACGATCTGAACCATTCTTTAATCAAGTAATCTGGTTTGTATTCATCTCATAGGGGGCATGGGAGACCGGATCACAGTACACTGCAGTAGCAGCCAAGATTTGCATGAATGGCTTGACCACCTACAAAGGTTGACAAGAGGAACAACTTTCAGTGGTACCCTTTCCAAAACCCAATCTTGGGGTTCCCATTCTGTAAGTACCACCCTAATAAAAGCTGAGATTCCAAACAAACTTGGAAACTTCTCTCTTACAGGTCATGCCTGCGGGCCCCAAACCTACCTTGACCCTGATCTTAGGGGACAGTGGGAGAAAAAATGGTCTTCCACTCTTTTCTAGGCCTTCAAATGTTGGGTTCCTCAATCCCACTTCATTTTTGATGTTTTCATTCATTGCCAGCACATATTAGTTGAAGTTTTTTTTAATCTGTAGATCTTGTACTGATGCTTTTTAGTGCTTGTTTTGTCTGCCTCAAGAATACTTGTAGTCGCTTGGAAAAAAAGGATTTTAGTAGTATAGTAAATAAATATCCTGCTTTCCCTCTTTCCTCTCTTTCAAGGGGGTGGGCCATCTCTCTAGGACTGGGGCCACAACTCACTCCTCTCCAGCTGGAAGGCTCCAAGTCCTCCTGTTTCCCTTCCAAACCTTATTTTGAGGGAAAAAATAGAATGTTTGCACTGCCCCAAATTAGTCATTTTGTGGTGGCTTGATCCAAAGGTGCTGGGAAGTCACAAATGGGGTTTTACAGAGCTGCATGCAATCCATGAGCTGAATGTGAGGTGATTTACTTGTCACTTTGAGGAGCTTTGAGGTGATTGGGCAGGTTGGAAACAAGAAACTCAGTGAGCTGTTCTTTATCAGACTTTCAGTTCTATTGGACAAGTCCATGGCCCACTGGAACCACCCCAGATCCTCAAACCTTGGACCTTGAGTTGCCTCCGCCCTGCACCTCCTCTCAGGCCCTCAGTGGCCCTCAGCTACAAAGAGGTAATGCCATGTAGCCTTTGTGTGTGTGTGTGTGTGTGTGTGTGTGTGTGTGTGTGTCTGTTGGCTTTGCTTATGACAATTTGATATCATGGTCCTTAATGCTGTGACAGCACATTCCAGGTTCAGCTGCAGGGTTGCACGTGGGTAGAAATGTGGCCATGGAGAGCCACCAAGTTCCCACAGAGGTTGGTGGAGTTTAGGAAGTTGGAACTCCGCTTGCAAGCTTTGGAACTCCCTGCCAGAGGAGCCATGTTTACTCCACTGTTGTGGTCCTTCTCTCAGCAGCCAAAGACATAACTCATTTAGAAATAAATTGTGCAGATTGGTTGGCAAATTAATTGTCAGTCTTGTCTTGCTTAATTGATACACTTAAGAATGAAGTCTTAGCTTGTTTGCTTGGTAAGTTTGGAAGCTTTAGTGATCGTTTTGTTATTTCATGTTTTATTTTCTGGGGAGAAAGAGGTTAGAAATTAAATAAAGATTCGTTTCCAATCCAGAGTTGTATTTTTAGGGAAGGAAGCTTTTCAAACACACTGCTCATTCCCAACCCCTTCCAAGCTTCCTTTTCAGTCCATCAAAGCTGCAATTTTGTCTAAATCTGAACCTCCAATTTCAAATCGGCATCTTCTGAACTTCTTTTTTTTAATCCCACAGAAGCTGCGATTCTTATCCATCAAAACCCTTTTTTAATTGTGCTTCAGGAAGCCGGATTAATTATAGGGGCAGTGTAATCTTCTCTTCCACTTAATTGTCATAAATCCGTGTGCTGTCAAAATATAACCCTATGCAAATTTAGGCCCACAGGAAACGGGGGTGAGAAGTTATTTGCATCAATGAGGAAACTTGTATCACACACCTAGAACTCGGTGATTTTAAACAAAATCACCTTCAATCCTTTGTACCCATTTTTTTTTCATGACTCACTCTCTGCACAATTCAAGCCAGGGTGAGATTTGCTCATCACACAGAGTCCTTGTACCACGAGTTTGGCATCTGCTTCCACCTGTTGCTTATCACAGGAGGGGAAAATACTCCACTCCCCCCAGCATTTCCTACACATTGTCAGACTCAAACATTTTAGCTCTGGTCCTCCTTGGGGGTTTTGAGATGAAGGCCGCGTGGTACCAGCAGAGTTGATCCATGTACAATGGATCTGGCCACACACAAACACACACACACACTTCAGGTGCTTTTCAAAGAGTTATCATGGTGTGGCTATCCCAACTTATTCACAGAGATCCCGTTGGCACAACATACTTAACCAGTCAGCGGCTAACCCAGTCAGGTTTGCTTAGTGGTGTTTCCAGCAGCACACAGTCACACTATCCCAGTTAAAAGTCAACATTTGGAGAAGGCAAACACCCTGCCTACTTTCCTCTGGAGGTGCCTACTAGCCTTCAGTCCTTGAGGCAGAAGATTATGAAGGAGCAAGACAGCATTTCTTCCCTAGCCCCCAGGGATGTCCAGGGATCAAAAAAGTCAAGATGGGAGCCACAACTCTGAGATCAAAGTCCTGCCCCCTTTTTTTTATCTGCATCATAATGTTGGTTAATTAAGGAATGAATTGGGCAATGTGATAAAAACAGCCTTAATCAATATCTAAGGATGCTCCAGAACTGCTCTGTTCCATGGGACATAATGTTGTTGATGATTTTTGCAGGAAGATTGTATTTCTCTTCCTTCCTCTTCAGCAAAAATGTGGACATGGTGCAGTCACCCTTCCCTTAAAGTCAGACCCTTGGGTCTGAGCTTTTCTTGGTCCTTTTTGTGAAAAGAATCCTTAAAAATCAGACCCCTGGCCATTTGTCAGTACTGTTAATCAAACAAAGGCAGCAATTCCAAAGAAAGCTGAAATAACAATAGCCTAAAAATATCATTGAAAGGATCTCTGATATCCTTAGAAACTGGAAAATCCAATTGGCTTGGCTTGGCCTGACTGCCTAAAAGAAAGAGGCCTGGTGAACTGATTTAAGGAGAACCATAATTTTGGTTCTACTTCTCAAGAAGATCTGCTCTGTAGAAACCGCCCATCTAAATGTGAAGAATTGGAACGCGTGGAGGTCAGCCTCTGAAATACATTTTAAATGTTAGGCAGGATTGTGATAAGAGAAGAGACCTTCCCAGAAGGATCCTGGAGGGCAATTACAAATCTGATATTGGAGGTCCCAGCCCACTGCTCCCCGTAAGAATCCATGTGGGTAAGGGAGGTTCTGATAATCAATGTGGGAAAACTTTGATGAGCTAGCTAACCTTTCCATGAAAATGCAAGGCCTCTTCTGTTATGATGAGCAAGCAGGAGGAATTGGTGCCCTTGGACAGGGGACCCCAACCCGTTGCCCCACACAGAGGTACAGCTAGAAGATTCCTCTTCAGGGCTCAGAAGCAAGAAGAGTAGGAACCCTGAATATAATATGATTTACTTTATTAGCAACATCATAGTTTTGAAGTATATCTTTAAGGCAGTAGTTTGATGGCAATGTTCATCTTTTCATGCTCACCCTTTCTTTCTTTACATGCTCGTTCCCAGCGGATGTCCTACATCTTAAAGGTAAGGCCAGAAACCTCTCCATGACTTGTCCCATTGCAACATATTTATGTGTTTTAATGAACAAATAGGGTTTTCCCCAAGTGACAAGTTTCTGCCCTGGGTTTGAGGTCATATTTTCCCAAAGCTAATCTCACTGCTGTTTGTTTCTGCAGTCTGGCTCCGTGCACGTTTACTTAGAAGTAGACCGCACTGAGCCTATCTCCTGAGCGCACGTGCAACGGAGATGCCCTTTAGTGTGTCTCTGGCTCAGGGTTTATTTATTCGGTCAACAGATTACACTTGTATATCACCAAACCTGAAACAATTCACAGTGGTTCATAGGTCGCATTCTGTAAAGGAATTTAGAGCTGATCTTGAAGAAAGTAGGAGTGAGCCATTGAAGGGGGAAAAGACAGAACAAGGAGAGACGAGAGATTACAAAGTCCAGAAATGGAAGGAAGTGTGAGAAAGAAACTCAAAATAAGCCCCCTTGATCTTGTTTACCATAAGTTGGTACATAGAGAAACTGGGCCAGGCTTTCAAGATCCTATAATTCCACCATACTATAAAGAGCATTCCTAGAATTTCTGCACTGTCCCTTTCTTGACCTGACTTTTGAAGCCTGTACCAGTTTCTTTCTGTCCCATTTTATACTACACAATATCAAGGCAGGGTTACTTTGAGTTTCCTTCTCATGCATCTTTCTATCTCAGGACCATGTACAGTAATCTTTTGTCCAAGACGCTCCTTAATGGCTCACTTGTAAGGTCAACTCTAAATTCCTTCACACATATTTACTTGCTAGATCTTCCATGCTGGAATTCAAGGCACAACATTTATGGGACAGTCTGTCACCCAGTCAGGAATCACCCACGACCTTTCATTAAGAAGATACTACATCCCTACTCTTTCTTCAAAGGTAGTTGGGCCCATGGCTATGAAGAGGGATTGGGGAACACACCATTTCTGGCTTCCAGATTAGCCAAATCTGCCTTGTGTCACGTGTCTAAACATGTCACCTATCCATACCACTGCTCAGTCGTTGGATATTTACTCTGCAGACTCATAAATATTTGAGCTCACTCCTCAGTTAATCAACTAAAGCTTAGATGCATCATGAGTGGAGGTTTCTTCAGCCAGGACATAACCCTAATGGGGTTGTTCTGCCTGTACAGGATTCCAGCAAGAGCCCCAAGACGATGAAAAAGTTCCTTCCCAAAAGGAAAACAGAGAGGAAAGCATCTGATGAGGAGTTTGTCATTAGAAAAAGTAGGTTGGCTGTGTGCTTTGTTGCTGTAATGGTTTTTTCTTTTCTTTTAATTATGCTGTAAGGTAGAAGACTCTGCTCTTTATCCATTGGCTAAAAATAAAATGGCACTTCCAGACAGTTTTATGAACTTGTACGCTAAAGGAGGAAGGGAAAGACTGTCTTCCAGGAAACGCATCCCTGAATAGTTAGTTTAGTTTAGTTTCTAAATCATGAAAATTAGTATTTCCAATCAATCTTCCATTAGTCGGGCCCCACCTCAAGTACTGGATCCAATTTAAGATTATACAAATTGCAGTGGAAGAGATGCCTAAAAGGGCAAGGAGAAGGAATGGGAGAAGTTCTACAGGGAGGTGTTGAGGGAATTGAGTCTGTTTAGCTCAAGAAAAGACAGCTGAAGGGAGATGCAATAGCCCTCTTCAAGTGTCACACAGAAAAAGGACAGATCTTGTTCTCAGTTGTCCCTGAAGGCAAGACACAGAAGTTGCAGATACAAATCTGAGTGGAAAATTAGGAGAAACATCCAAACTATTTAAGCAGCGAGACAGCAGAACCAGTGACCCAGCTTGATAAAGGGTTCTCCTTCCTTGGATGTATTCAGGACAATCATCTGTGAAGGATGCTTTTGTTTGGAATTCTGCATCAAGCAAGGGATGACTGGATGGCCATGATGGCCTTTTGCAGTTTTATGATTCGAATAAAAGTCATTAGAAGGAGACAGAGGATAGACTTAAAACAACAAATAAATAAAGCAAGCACTGAAAATGTGAGACCCCTTCATGACTCATCGGCTTATTATCCTGGAAGCTTTTGTGGATCAGATGCCGCTTCATCAAAGGTCTCGCCTATGCTCTTGCGAAAGGAATACGATGCCTGTGGCGGGGAAAGGAAAGAGGACACTAGAATGAATGATGAGACATAGTGAGCGTTATCAATAGGTAATGACCATTCCCCAGTCAATAATTAATCAGTGGCTGATTGCCTCACAATAGATGTGTTCGGCTTGAAGGACTCAAAACCAGGCTAATAAGGGTGCTTCATTGGCAAAAAGGCGAGGCATTCAAGTTAGTCAACTTCAGTGCCAATCAGAAGCCCCTTCTGGACTTTTCTCAGGAGACGGAAAAAAATGAAACTATGATTTATGGATTTGACGATTAGTTAAAATAATAGGTTATACCAGATATGTATGTTAAGATGCAGTTTTAGAGTAAGAGGTTACTATATGATTGATCTATATCTGCTGCGTAAGAAGTCGGAAGTCATTCTTTCTGTAATTTTTCCTCTCTTCCCTTTTCTTTCCTTTCCATCACTTTTGTATTCTTTCTTTCTTTCTAACTCTCTTCTTCTCTACTTCCCTCTTTGATTATTAGTCCTTGTTTGCTTTTTATAACTTAATAAAGTGCTTATTAAAAAGAAAAAAGGGAAAAAAAGACAAAGTGAGCTCAGCCCAACTGATGCTCCAGCCAAAATCCAGGGTCTGGTCCTGACACGCGTTTGCTTCACAGGCACGGCTGCTTTGGAAGAAGATGCTCAGATCCTCAAGGTGATTGAGGCGTATTGCGCGGGGGCCAGTTTTCAGCAGAACGTCACTTCAGGTCAGTGGATTGAAGCCAAACCAGGTGGTTCACAGGGGCTTGAGATATGGTTGATCTCTTGGGCCGGGTCAGACGTAGGGGGCCCTCAGGACACCTGCCTGGCGTTCTCTGAAATGGGGGGAAGCTGTGATTTGTTTTACCACTTTTTAAAAAGACCGTAAACCGCCACGTGCACAAACACATCTCGTTTGAAGAAGGAGCAGGGGTCGCACCCCACAGAACGAAGAAAGCTCAACTGGGTTTAATGGGGTGGATACCCACCACCGGGCGTCTAGCTTTTTATTGCAGTCTTCCCACGCTGGAGACCTTCAAATGGGGTGCATCACAACCCAGAAGGAAGGGCACATCTGGAAGATGCCACGTTAGGAACAAAGTTGGTCTTATTGACCTTACGCACCTGGCAGAAGCCACCATATCATGTGATTATTGTACAAATGATGCCATAGGTTTCAGGGGCTCGATGCGTTGCCTCCTTTGCCCCACGACACCACGGGTTGCGGGATGACATTTCCCCCCCAACCCCAAGGATGCCTGAATGAATAAATAAGCCTGCCATTTCCTCTTCCGTTGCTTGGAAGAAGTTCTGCAGGATTCAGACAGGCGCGGTGACCCGAAACCAAGAATCGGGAGCCAGACTGACTTTCTGAGGCCCCGGGCCTTTGCTCTGATGCGTTTACGGTGCTCCTTCTTTGCCTGTTAAACTCAGATGCTGCATTTATATTGTCTCTGAATTTGCAGCTTTCTTACATAGAGCCATCCTGCTTAGCAACTCAAGCAATGTTTCTCAACCTTGGGGACTTTAAGATGCGTGGACTTCAACTCCCAGAATTCCCCAGCCA